TTGCTCTGCTTAGTATTTCCAGCACTGTATTGAATAGGAGTGGTGATAATGGACATCTTTGTCTTGTTCATGATTTTAAAGTAAAAGCTTTCAGTTTTTGGCCACTTAATATGATGCTGGCTGTTGGTTTGTCATAGATGGTTTGTCATACAGAGGTAAGGACACTCTATTTGATTTTCTTTAGGTTTCTTATTATCAATGAGTGTTGGATCTTATCAAAAGATTTTTATGCCTGTATACCAATGATCATGTGGCTCTCATTTTTGGCTCTATTGATATGGTGGATTACATTTATTGATATGTATATGTTGAACCAACCCTGCATTCCTGGGATGAATCCCATTTGGAAGTAGTATATAATCTTCTTGATGATTTTATGAACTCTATTTGCCAGTATTTTATTGTGAATTTTTGCATGTATGTTCATGAGGGAGATTGGCCTGTAGTTCTCTTTTTTGGTTGGGTCTTGATTATTATATGTCTATTATATGTCTCTGGTTTTGTTATTAGAGTAATACTTGCTTCCAGGAATGGATTAGGGAGAAGTGCTTCCCTTTCAATTTCATTGAGTAGTTTGAGGAATGCCAGCATTAAGTCCTTGCTGTATTTCTTGTATAATTCCACAGTGAATCCATCTGGACCTGGGCTTTTCTTTGTTGGTAAGGTTTTAATTACATTTTCAATTTCATTAACTTAAATTAGGTTATACAGTAGTTTTACATCTTCTTGATTGGTAATTCATATGTTTCTAGAAATCTGTCCATTTCTTCTGTGTTATCAAACCTATGATAGTAAAGATTTTCAAAGTAGGTATCGATGATCTTCTGTATTTCCACAGGATTTCACCCTTTTCATTCCTCATTGTGTGAATTTGAGTTTTTTCTTTCCTTTTTAAAGTAAGGTTGGCTAGGGGCTTATCAATTTTATTTATTCTTTCAAACAACCAATTCTTTTATTCACTGATTGTTTGTATTGTTTTCTTAGTCTCTTTTGCACTAATTTTTGCTCTGATTTTTATAATTTCTTCCCTTCTTTTGGCTTTGAGCTTGACTTACTTTTCTTTTTCTAAATGTTTGTGGTGTAGCATAAGGTTATTTATTTGTGTTTGTTCTGTTTTCCTCATATGGGAATTCCCTGCAATAAATTTTCCTCGAGGAATGCTTTCATTGCATCCCACAGGATCCAGTAAGTTGTATTTGTATTTTCATTTGCTTGTAGATATTGTTTAATTTCTTCTGTGACCCACTGATTGCTCAGTAGTGCATTGTTCAATTTCTATATGTCTGAGGGGTTTTTGCAGTTACTTTTGTCATTATTTTCTAGTTTCATGGCACTATGATCTGATAACATACATGGGATAATGTCAATTCTTTTGCATTTATTTAAGCATGTTCTGTGGGATAGTATATGGTCTATTTTAGAGAATGTCCCATGTGCTGCTGAGAAGAATGTATACTCAGATGTTGTTGAGTGAGACACTCTATGTGCGTCCAATAAGTAAATTTGTTCACAGGTGTGATTTAGTTCTGTTATTTCTTTGCTGATTTTCTGTCCAATTGATTTGTCTCTTTGTGTCAATGGGCTGTTAAGGTCTCCCATTATGATTATATTATTGTTTGATCTTTCGTTTTTGCTAATATTTGTTTTGTATAGCTGGGTGCTCCCAATTTAGGTGCATACATATTTAAGATTGTTATTTCTTACTCTTGAAGTTTTCCCTAACTAGTATGTAGTGACCTTTTTTATCTTTTTTTATTTATTTAAAGAAAAGGAAACAAAAAAATACACGGAGATAAAAAAGGGGTAGAAATAATACAAAATTACAGAAAAACAAATGGTAAGAAATTGCCGGTTGATAAATTACACATTGTCATCTTAGAAATAGCTGTTCAGGTTATAGAATTAAAGTATTTAGAATGACATTCAAAAAGTGACACTACAAACCGTTCTGCTCTATGATTGAACAAAAGCTCAGTAATATGGTTATCAGTCCTACACATTTGTTTTACATCTCAAAGAGGATAAGATTAAACATATCAAAACAGAACAAAACATTTAAAAAGACAATTTAAATAAATACAGATTTCAAAGCAAGTCCACTGGAGATCTTCACTGTCTATCTAACTGCCTCTAGTTTCTTACAAATAGTTGTCTCTATCTTCACCCACTTTATATACTTATTGCATATTATAGAACTAATCAAATCATTACAGGATGATGAAGGCTTTTTAGGTCCTCAAGTTCCAAATTAGGGAAGACAATAATAACTACCATCGCATCTCTCATTCTCTTTGTGATAGTTGTCCCCATCTCTACATATGCTAAAATTGAACTCAAGAAACCAGTCCAATGTCATTCTAATCAGCGAACAATAGTATGGCTAGAATTTATATCAATGCTACAAAATTAGCCTCAGGTTTCTTAGCATCTCTTCCTCAGAGTATCTGTTCATTACATCTTGCATTATATAATCTGTTCCCATAAATAATTTTTTTAAAAACCCATGTGTGAATTTCTACCTATATATCTATCCTCTCTGTATTATAGGGAAAACCAAGTCATAGCAAGACAGCAAAACAATTTCCTATGCAGTGGATAAGACATGTAAGACTACAATATAGATGATCTTCCGTAGTTACTATGTTTTCTCTTGTTATTTTCAATAGATTTGTCCACAACACTGGCTTATTATAGTTAAACATAGTATCACCTATTTTTATAAAAACTTAACTTTGACAGCATTGTAGGATTTGAGAGCTGTTACTAGTTAATACCAGTATGGATATCCTTTACATCTTGTCATGCTCAGAGTAGTTGCCTCTACTTTTAGGGTTGATACTAATAAGCATACCAAATTCAAATAAAATCAGCCAAGGCCAACCCATAGTCTTATTATTCAGATTCAATTAAGATCAGTCATAGTAAGACAATGTAAGTAATACAGGATTTCAGTTTAAGTTAATAGGAAAGTAAGGATAGTTACCATGGTATAACCTGCTATTTTTGGGTCAAGATGTCTGTGCTCTCAAATCTGACATGAGTGGACAGACCAGAACAAATTAAATTCAATCTAAATATGGCACTAGGACTACTGTGTCTTTTAAATTCTTATATACCATTAACAATGACCTCTGCCTTTTTTAAATAATGTTTCAGAGCTGTCTATACTAAAGACTATAGCTTACCATCTCTGCCTCATGCCTGCTACTCCACTTTTCTGCTATAATTTGTCCACCTTATTCCCTCATTCCCTTGTCTGCCCCATTCACTGAGGCCTCTCTGCCACTGTTGCTGGAATCCTGGCATCCCTTCCTCTCTTTCTCTGTAACGTCCTTCAGCACTCTCTGTAGGGTTGGATTGGTGGCCACAAACTCCCACAGTTCCTCCTTGTCTTGGAAGTATCTTATTTCTCCATTAATTTTGAGAGAGAGTTTTGACTGGTATATGAGCTTTGGTTGCATATTATTTTCTTTCAGGACTTGAAATATTTCTCCCCACTCCCTTCTTGACTTAAGAGTTTGTGTTGATAAGTCTGCTGTTATTTTGATAATTTTCCCATTGTAGGTAATCTGCATCTTTTCTCTGGCTGCTTTTAATATTCTGTTCTTTTGGTGGATTTCTGGAATCTTGATTATTATATGTCTAGGCATAGATCTGTTTTGGTTGTAGGTAGCTGGTGTTCTGTATGCCTCTTTTATCTGGATATCATTTCTTTTTGCTATACATGGGAATTTTTGCTTTAATATGTCTGTGAATATTTTTTGTATTTCATTTTTGGTTGCTCCTGCTTCCTCACTCACATTCTTTATTCTTAAGTTATGTATCCTTTTGTCATCTTCTAGTTTTTGAATTGTTTCTTTCTGGTTCCTTGTTATTTTTAAGAGGCTTTTTCTTTCACGATCATATGCCATAAATCTCTCTTCAAGTTTCAGAAGGTTGTCTTTAGTTTCTGTCAAGGCATTTTTCCAGTGTTCAATGGAGTTTTTAGTTTCCTGGTATTCTCTTTGGATCTGTTTCATGTATTCTAAGTTATGTTTAAATTCTTCTTCAGAAGTTTCTCTTTCTTTTCTGATTTCCTCAGTTCTTCCATCTGTGTTCTCTTGGGTGGGGCTTGTCATTTCTTTAATTAATCTCTTTATATCTTGCCTCACTTGGATCAGGAGTACAGCTTTAAATTCATCTATGAGATCATGAAGGTATTTTTTAATTTCAGCTGATGCTGTGTCAAGCAATGGATGGTTACTGTGCTTATTCTCTTCAGTGTTTACTTCTCCTGGGCTTATTTTCTCATGTTGGGCAGCTGGAGATTTTTTTTAATTTTTATCTCTTGTCCTGTTTCTGGTTTCTTTCAGACTGGAGTGTCCTTGGGGTCTCTGGCCCTCTCCAAATTGCTTAAGACCTTTCAGAAGCGTGCTGACTTGAGTTTTTGCTGTCCTCCCCAATTTGCTGTTATCTGGGGTAGGCTGGGATGCAGGGGCGGTACAGGCTAGTCTCCAGCCTCTGTGCCAGTCAATCCATAAATTAGGCTGTACTTTCTGAATGTCACTGAGTTGTGACTATTTTGTATCTGCTTATTGGGCCCCAAGAAGGGGCTTGGTTTAGCCCCAGTAGCTCCTGCCAGTTCTCTTTGTACCAGAAGCAGCTGACTAATGTCACTATGGCACAGGGTTCTGCCCAAATCCCAGCTGTTCTCTTCCAGACCTCTCTGTGACAGGAGCACCAGAACAGAAGATCTGCCCAAATCCAAGATGTCTCCCACTAGTTCTCTGTATGACGCTGAAGCCAGCACGCACTCAGGCTCTGCCCAATTTCAGGATGTCTTCCACCAGACCTCCCTATAGGGGGACTCGGTGATGTCACCGAGCTGTAGGTTCTGCCCAACTCTAAGATGTCTGCCACCAGACTCTCTGTGTTATTGATGTCCCCGTGGTGGCAGGCACTGCCCAGTTCCAAGATGTTCTCTGGCCAACCCCAGCAGCCGTGGGGTCCCCAGTACTCACCAGGGTTCGGCACAGGTCCTCCTCTGCGGTCCACCACACACCATGCTACCCACCTTTCCTGCGCTCCCCGCACAGTGCGGAACAGTCAGAAATCTGCACAGCATGCGCTCCCGGCACAGCGTGGAACGGTCAGAAATCTGCACAGCGTTCAGCTTCGGAGCTCCAGAGCCTTTCACGATCTCCTCTGGTGCAGCGGGGCAGTCCTGGCTCTTCTCGGGGTCCCAGGTCTCAGTTTCCAGCAGTCACGAAAAGCCAACACAGCTTTTCCTGTTGGGTCCACGGGTCAGTTTGTTGATTTAAAGGCGCGGGATTTGCAGCCTCCCATCATCAGCCTTCACACGACTCAGCACGACTTTAAATCCTCCAGCTGCACTGTCTTGGTTAATAAGAATTGTTATCCATTTGTCTGGCCCTCTCCATGTTGTCATATTCTAGCTTCTAATACGATTTCTCCGGAGAGACTCTCCGCCCAATCCCCTAGCAAGCCGCCATTTTTTTTCTCCTCCGACCTTCTTTATCTTTTTTGATCATTCTTGGTTTGAAATTCACATTGTCTGCAAACACAATAGCTACCTCTGCTTTGTGGGGAGGTTCCCATTGCACGAAGTATCGTTTTTCATCCTTTGACTTTCAGTCTATGAGTTTCTTTTTGCGTTAGATGGGTTTCCTGTATACTGTATATGGTTGGATGTTACTTGATCAATTCTGCCAGTCTGTTTCTTTTAATTCATGAATTGATGCCATTTATATTAATGCTTATAAATGATATATGTTGGAGTTTTTTCTTTTTTTGGTCATGTTACCTTTCTGCTGTTGGTTTATTACCTTTCCAGTCTGTTTAAATGTTTGCCTTACTTAGTGGTCTTTTCCTATGTCTATCTAAAATGTCTTCCAGTATTCTTTGCAGGGTTGGTTTGGTGGTCATGAAGTTCTTCAGCTGTCCTTTGTCATGGAAGTATCTTATTTCTCCATCAGTTTTGAAGGATAGTTTTGCAAGGTACATGAATGTGCGTTAAAAGTTGTTATCTTTTAGGATCTGAAATACTTCACTCCATGCTCTTCTTGACTTTATTGTTTGTATTGAGAAATCTGCAGTAATTCTGATATATTTTCCTTTATAGGTGATCTTTCTCTTTTTTTCTAACATCTTTTAATATTTTGTTCTTATGTTGCATTTTTGGGATGTTAATTATTATATGTCTGTGTGTAATTATATTTTGGTTATGGCTATTTGGAGTTCAACATTCTTCATTTATGTGTATGTTAGTTTTCATTTATATTTTTGTGAAATATTTGGCTATCACTTCTGTAAATTGTCTTTTGATGTCATTTGTGTTGTCACTTTTTTTCTTCATACCTATCAATCTTATCTTGTTTTTCTTTGCACCATCTTGCAGCTGTTGAATTGTTGTTTCCTGATTCCTTATTTTTAAAGATCTTCGCTTTCCTGTTCACTAGCAGCAATCTTGTCTTTGAGGTCTGAAAGTCTATCTTCACTTTCATTGAGGTGGTTTTGCCAACTTTTGATTTTTTTTTTGATTTCCTGGATATCTCTTTGAATCTGTTTCATGCATTGTTTGTTTCTTACATTGTTCATTCAAGGTTGCTATCTTTTTGCAGTGTCCCTCTAATTTTTTAACTGTGTCTTAAGCATTTCTTTCATTACATTTATCATTTCTTCTTTTATTTGGAAGATTATTCCTGATCTCTGAGTTTTTTTTTTTATAGCTTCCTGGAGTTGTTTCTTTACTTCAGTCGGTATCATTTCAGGAATTTAAGGTGTATGGCTTACATTTTCTTCTATGTCCATGTCTCTTAGGCTTGCTTGGGATGGACTGGAGGTTTGAGATTGCATTTTGCTCTTTCATGTTGTCATTTTCTTATATACCCTTAGGGAAGCTGAAGGCAAGGCCTCAGTCATTTCTTGGGTTGAGAATATTCCTTACTGTAGGAAGTTTCCCCAGTTGAGTGGAGGTCATCAAACAGGCCTTACCAGGTGCCTTCCAGCTACCAGGTTCTGAGACTGTAAGACTGGATGGAGATCATTGCTCATGCTTTTGGCTCACAAGGTGGCGTGCAGGCGGCTCTGGCCTACTTGGGTGCTGCTGCTCGGGGGAATTTCCTGGGGGCCCTCCAGTGATGCTGGATGCTGGGCGGGGTCCTACCAGGCTCAGAGCGATCCACGGAAGCTGCACCATGGGATGAAACTCTCAGCACACAGTTTAAATAGTATTGTCACTTTGCTTGTAGACTAATACCTTTAAAAGTATATTAAATTCTTCCCTCTCATTTTTGTGGATCATTATATCATTGTATTTTCCATATGCTCAAAATCTATTATACATGGATCCGGGTATTTTAGACTATGCATTGTCTAATAATATGATCAAAAGAAAAAAGCTTTTATACTTATCTTCATGTTAGCAATTGTCAAAGATCTCTATAGGGATATAGATATCTGTGTGATATTGTATTCCTATCTCCTAAATAACTTTCCTTAATATTTTTTAATTTTTATTTTAAAGAGAATAAAACAAAGCAAAATAGAACAAAGCAGAACAAAGTACAACAATGCAAATAACACAGGATTTCAGAAAAAGCAGGAAATGAACAGTGGCTACCATAGTGTCTCTTGTTTTCTTCAAAATAGTTGTCCATACCTTCACACTCTTTTCTTAATATTTCTTGTGGGCCGGTCTACTGGTAACAAATTCTCTCAGATTTGGTTTGTATGAAAAGTATATTTTTCTTTCATTTTGAAAGGTATTTTCATTTGGCATAGAATTCAGCATTAACATTTTATTTTAGCACTTCAAAGATGTTACTATGATCATTTCTAATGAAAAGTCATTTTAATCTCTGATGTAATTTTAATATTTTGTTCCTCCATATGTAACGTATCTTTTTCTTCTGATTTCCTTCAAGATTTTCTCTCTCTCTTTTTTATTTTCCCATGTGTTGTGGCTTGTATCTAGATGTCCCCTCAAAAACCTCATGCAGTCATAAGCAGGGCTTCTTCAGAGGTTGCTAGATCTAGAATGTGTGCTGCTGGATTAAGGATGTGTGATTACTGAATTAGTCTACTGGTTTATTTGGCATAGTTATGGGTGTGAATGTTACCTGCCCTTAAGGGGCAGAAATAAGCTGCCATTGCCACTTGTTGTCATTTGTTTCTTGCTGCCATAGTGTCATCTGCCTTCTTCCTGGCTTGCTTTACCAGGAACTGTTTCTCCTCTGTGTTATCTTTCTGCCATGCCATGCTGCTGCGGAGCCAGCTGACTATGAACTGAAACCTCTACAAACTGACCCAACCTTTGTTCCTTTAACTTTCAGTGTCAGGTATTTTGTCTCAGGAAAGAGAAAAATAACTAAGACATCATGCTTGACTATGATACATATAATTTTGTATAATAGTGTGTAGTGGTATTTATACTTCTGTGATGAGGTAAAGTCCTAGCTGGCTATAGTATCACATCAATAGTGCAAAATGTATAATGGCTTCTGTCTTAAATCTTATTTTACTTGTATATGGACCCGAGTATCATAATCAGGTAGATAAGTTCACAAATAATAGTTTAAAAATGCATGTAATTTGCATATACAATAATCAGCTATTTCTTCTGGCTCAAGAAAACATGAAAGCAAGTCTGGTGCTGCTAGTAACACTCAGGACACAGAATCTTTACCCCTTACATTACAATGGGAGCTTTAAGTCTTTATGTTTTCTTTTAACTCTTGGGAGTGAGGTGCTACTTAGAGTGGCTAAGAAAGAACTGAGCCTTGAATTCATAGAAAATGGAAATAAAAATATTCACCTTATCTTATACTCTTACACTATCTGTCCATAGTTTTTTAGGTACAATTATTAAGTTTTCTCCTAGGGGCCAAAGAAAGCATTCAATGCAGCGAGAAGATTTTTTTTGTCTTCCATATTTGAGATTTTATTGGTTGTGTTGAAGATCAGTACAAGCGTTTCACTTTGTACACATATTTACTTGTTTGTTTGTCTGTCTTTGGTATCAGGGATCGAATTCCTGACCATGTAATTGCCAAACAAGCACTTATATGCCGCTGAACTAAATCCCCGATGCACACAATTCTTAACACACATACCAAAAATCTAAAAAGCCAAGTCCAGTGACTTTCCATCTTGAAATTTGGAAGCAAATTTTCTGTAAGATTATGTACCAGTATCTTCAAATATCAATAAACTGTTACTGAAGTCCCACTGATTCTTAATTTCATATTATATACACTGCATACTCAAGTTTCCGATCTTTCACAGCACGTTAACAAAATTAGGCAAATTGGAATACCACTACCAAAGGTGTTTTGGAGTGCACAGGATTCTGGGAGTAGCAGTCAGGAAGTAGTTTTCTTTAGGAAACAATTATACTAAAAACAACATAGAAATTTAAGTCATTTAAAATATTCAAGACATATTAAACGCATGATTGGGATGTCAATTTGCCATTTACTATGTTTGATATTGCAGGATATAGAACTAGCCCCCCTGGAATGTTAAACTGACACCCAAGACGGTCAAAGCCTACCCATAACTCAATATTCTACTATTTTCTGGTTGTACCAAAAGATAAACAACCACAAATGATTTCATGGGAAAAAAACCATATATACTTAAAAAATGTGACGAGGTGGGATTTCCTTTTAAAAAAATGTTTCTAGAACTACTAAAAATTTGCACTTACAAAATAGTTGATAAAAATATTCCTCTGGGTTATGTAGCAAGGGAGACAAGGGCCAATGATAAAACACGGTGTATGTGATTAATCAGACTTGGCTTCTTTGTCTTCCGCTTCATCAGAGGGTGCACACTCGTCGCTTTTGGTTTCTCCATTTTCTGCGGGTAAATCTTTGGTTTCTTAATTAGACACTTCGGCCTGTTTTCCCAATTGTTCCCCTTTTCCCTTTTGCATGCACGCGCACACGTGTGTGTGTGTGTGTGTGTGTGTGTGTGTGAAGATTTATCCTTTTCCACTGCCTTTTTTGCCTTCATTTCCACTTTTGCAGGAGCAGGTTTAGCCGAAAACCTTGCGAATCTCCTCTTGGGCTTCTGCTTTCCAGCCCCTTCAGCCAGCTGGCCTTCCTCTGGGCATTTTGGCGATGGGATGAGCTGAAGTGGGTGAGGAGGGGTGGGGTGGGGGCCGCACGTGAAACCTGTCAAGCTGAGGTACACGAGCACCTCACAGTGAAACGATTCATGATAGTAAGACTCAGTAACAATGGCAAAATTACTCATAATATGTACTACATACTTTAAAAATGTATAAAATCTAAATTTTAAACATGCTTTTAAAATATTCTTTGTGTAATACAAGTACAAACAGAGAACACTGCTCTGTATTTTAAAAGTATAGGCATTTGCAGGCTTCTATTTGAGTACTCTTGGTTATGTAAGAAAGGTGCCTAAACTCAGATGTAAAGAAACTGAAGAAAGCAACAGTTTCTTTGGAGAAGCCCATTTTACATACAATGCACTAAAAACTTTTTCTTCAAGGGGGAGTAACACACCCTTTGGTCAACATTACTCTTTAAAGAAATCCTAACACACTTAATATGCTCTCTAGCTTTCTGGTACCGGTCACCAGAGGACTGTATTTCATCAAAGCTCTTGAAACACTTTTTAAAGGTAAACAGCGACATGCAGCTTAAAACTATGATTCCTAATTACTGAATACTGTTCAGAATACAATGATTCTGACAACTAATTTCTGTATGAATGGTTATATAAAAATCACATAATTCATTCTTCATAACGTAAAGCATAGTAAGTGCAAAGATCTAGGCTGGTTTTGCTTGTAAGTTTCCTCTGTCCCACCATTTGTCTTTTACTAGACCTTCCCTGAAACTAGATGAATAAAACATAATAGTAAAGTACTTCAGGACAGTAACAGTTTCTGTTTAGATTTCCATGAGCAAAACAGTTATAGTCTGTGAAAATTTTGTAGTGCTGTAAAAGGTACATTTTTACCTGTGTTGCTAAATCAGTTCATAAAGTATAAAACTGTACACCACTGGAATCCTGTTTCCAAAACATTAAAACCCTATTAAAAGACCATTGGAAAGATAAATCATAGTGATTGCTATAGCCTGAGAAAGATGCACCAGTAAATCCTTCACAAAAGGCCGAAGTGCTGGAATTAAATAAGACACTTTATCAGAGAAGTCACAATGGAGCACATATAGGAAAGGGAGATTAGGGAACTTCACAGAATCTTAACTCAATAAAGTAGAGATGTCAGCCCTGCACAATGCTCAGTATGCAAAGTTCTTTTCTCAAGTGTGTGAGTTTTAACTGGCATCACAGTTTGCACTCTGGGGTTCTCTGAAATGCAGCCATCATATGGCTGGGATCTATGCTCTGTCTCCCAGCTCATTTAATTACTTTCCTACTAGTTATGTACAATCTATTTGTGAGTTTATTGAAGGCACTTTTACACTACTGTTACCATAACTTTTCAAATAAATTTTTTCTTCTTTTTTTATTTAAAGGAAAAAAAAACAGTATAAGGGTACAAGTAATACAGAATTTCAAAAAAAAACAGTAAGAAATCACTAGTTAATGGATTACATATTGTCATCTTAGAAATAGTTGTTCAACTTACAGGCTTAAAGCATACAAAGTGGACATTCAAACAGTGAGACTACAAACAGTTGTGTTCAATGATCCCACAAAAACTTAGTAATACGGTCATCTATCTTAACACACCTAAACACACTTGCAGTTGTATCCTTTGGAGCACTTTTTTTCCTCTCTTTTTTACAACAAAATTTACACATTTTGGATTTTATTATTCCCATAGCTCTTATTACATTTTTTGGAAGAGAATAAAACCAAATATGACAAAACAAAACAGTCAAAACAAAGGATAGACATAACACATGATGTGAAAACAGAATATAAGGTTATCAACAATGGTTACCATAATGCCTCTTGCTACCTTAAAAAGAATTGCCTGTATCATCAGGTATAATAAAATTGAACAAAACAGTACAGAACAAGACCAATAAAACCTAAACACTGGAAACATTACAGGACTTCAAAAGAAGATGATAGTCAAACCAGAATGGGAATCATAGTGAATCTTACTGCCTTCAAAGTAGATGCCTATACCCTCAAACTTGATACTATCAAACAGAATGGAACAGAGTAAAATCAGTCAAAACAAGATAGTGG